TTCGGTGTTAGGTCCATTAATCTTTTCAGACGCATGTTTTGGGAGCAAGATTGGCCAAACTAGAGGTGATCACACATTTTCAGGAATCAGCTGATGTGTGTGTGCTGCTCTAGCACTGGTGCATTTCAGATCACCACTGCCTTTCACTGGAGGAATGTAAATGGTGTGCAAAGGCAAGAGATTCTGAAATTCTGTCATCATCTACTCAGACTTGCATCGTTCTGAACTGGCATGTCTTTCTTCTGAAAAACCAGACAAATGCTTTGCGGATATGCTGTAGACCTTTTAAGGTCCCATGAAATTAAAATAAAACCATTTTAGATGTTAGTTTTAGTCTGTTACTTTTAGGTACACTGTAAAAAAACTGCAATTGTACTATTTGTTTCCTATTCATCCATCTACTCTATCCATACTACACCTTCGACCTATCTATGCTACACTTTCCATCCATCCATCCGTCCATCCATCCATCCATCCATCCATCCATCCCTTTAATCTATCCATACTATACCTTCTACCTGTCTATACTACACTTTCCATTAATCTGTCCACCCATCCATCGGTCCATCCACTAATCTATCCATACTACACCTTCGACCTATCTATGCTACACTTTCCATCCACCCATCCATCCATCCATCCATCCATCCATCCATCCATCCATCCATCCATCTAATTTATCCATACTACACCTTCTACCTATCTATACCACACTTTCCATTCATCTATCCATCTATTCATCCATCCATCCCTCTAACTTTTTGATACTACACCTTCTACCTATCTATACTACACTTTCCATTCATCTATCCACCCATCCATTCATTCATCCATCCATCCGTCCGTCTATCCATCCATCCCTCTAATCTATTGATACTACATCTTCGACCTATCTATGCTACACTTTCCATCCATCCATCCATCCATCCATCCATCCATCCATCCATCCATCCATCCATCCATCCATCCATCCATCCATCCATCCATCCATCCATTCATCCATCCCTCTAATCTATTGATACTACACCTTCTACCTATCTATGCTAAACTTTCAAATTATCTATCTATCTATCTATCTATCTATCTATCTATCTATCTATCTATCTATCTATCTATCTATCTATCTATCTATCTATCTATCTATCTATCTATCTATCTATCTATCTATCTATCTATCTATCTATCTATCTATCCATCCATCTAATCTATTGATACTACAGCTTCGACCTATCTATGCTACACTTTCCATCCATCCATCCATCCATCCATCCATCCATCCATCCATCCATCCATCCATCCATCCATCCATCCATCCATCCATCCATCCATCCATCCATCCATCCATCCATCCATCCATCCATCCCTTTAATCTATTGATACTACACCTTCTACCTATCTATACTACACTTTCCATTCATCTATTCACCCATCCATTCATCCATTCATCCGTCTATCCATCCATCCATCCCTCTAATCTATTGATACTACACCTTCTACCTATCTATGCTACACTGTCCATTCATACATTTATCCATCTATCCATCTGTCCGTCCATCCATCCATCCATCCATCCATCCATCCATCCAACCATTCATCTATCCATCCATCCATCTAATCTATTTATAGCTATCTAACCGGGTTCTGGAAAAAAAAAAAATGTAAAACAACGGCAGCTAAATTACAGAAAGTTACCATATAATATTGGATATTAAATTACAGAAACTTCCTTANATTTAAATTCAGGTAAATTTCTGTCATTTAATATCCATTATTTTACAGTATATTTCTGTAATTGAATGGCTGTTATTTTATAGGGGA